AGCAACATCAGCTGAAGGAAAATATATTGAACGCTAGGGCAACTGCCATATTGCGATTAGAACAAATATACTAAAAGTTATAAATAGACGTGGAATATATTTATTTTTTAAATAGTATTATTAAATTAAAGAAATACATTTTCTTTACCTTGTAGCCCTACAGCCCTTGCAGACAAGCCGCCAATGCTATAGATCATATTTCGTTCTTCAATGCGTCGCCTATTGAAATTTCATCAAAACCGTATTCTGCCTTTTATTGATACGATTACTGCCATATCGAATTGATTCCTTTATTTGGTTTAGCGGAAAATCAACTTAGGCTTTTGAATGTAGTTTATAAAAAATGGCATATTTCGAATATTCCCCCTGAGACGTTCAGGAAGATCGTAAATATACAGCAACAATGTTTACTTTTACTACTTTATATTCCATTTTGTTTCGACGCTAACTGGAAGACATACATGATACATTCTATTTGAAAAATATCGAATTTAAATATGTATACGCTTGTGTCATCCTTGGTAAATTCCTATTGGAAAGAGTTTAGAGCACGTCCTAAGATAAGGACATACATACCTACACATTGTGTTTGTAATATAGATACACAGAAATATAAAAATATTGAAACAGAAAGGAAATAATGTTAAATTATTAGTACTTTACAAAGGAAGTCAGTCATGTGGTTCACAAGACATAGAATTAGTAGTTTCCATCCTTATCATAAAAATACAACGTTCCCAATAATTGTAAACCAGTAGCGATATCTATGCATAGTGCTTGACACAAAATTGTTATGGACCAAACATATTGCTCATATACAAAATAAATGTGAAAAAGGTATTAACATGCTGAGATATGTTACGAAAACTAAATATGGTGCAAACCCCAAAATGCCCCTTATATTTTATAAGAGCTATATTAGGTCAATTATAAACTATGGAAGTGTGTTTTATGGATCAGAGTCCAACACTAATTTAAAACTAATCGATCGAATAAGTTGAAAAGCAATAACCAAACAGAGTTTCCAAATATCATGTAATTGACCTTTTTTATAACATTACAATATCAAAAAGAAAAAGTGACAGTCAAAAATTACAATGTTACATCAAACTCAAAAAACATAGTATGTGTAGAATTATATACTGGGTGACCAAGATGATATGCTGTTTTCAACCTTTCTTCCCAAAATTCATCTAATTTTTACATCTTGCATACACCCATCATACTTCTTAGTTTAATAAACTGAACTTGCACTAAAGTTTTAGTCATAATATATGCCACTTGACTAGCACTGGAAGTATATTCAACTTGCATAATATCTTCATAAAACATCTTTCTTACAAAATGGTATCGAATTTCAATATGTTTGGATTTTTTGTGAAATTCGGGGTTTTTTACAAGTTTAATCGAACTCATATTGTCAATGTACAAAACTGTTATTTCTTCTAATAATATATTTAACCAAATTAGTTTTTTGGTTGCCTCACTGGCTGCAACATATTCAGCTTCCGTGGTTGAGAGTACGACACTTCTTTGTTTTTGACTGAGCCACGTGATAGCAGATGCTGAGTACATGCTTACAACTCCAGTTCAGGACTTTCGTGTTGCAACGTCTCCAGCATAATCAGCATCACTGAAAGACACTTAAGTTACTATCAGTACTGGACTTATAGTAAATTGACAGTCCCTCGCAGATAACGAAAAATCCTCTTAACAGCTACACCAATCTGATTTTAGTGGGTCGTTTAATTATATATATATATATGCAATGTCCGGTCGTGAAGCTGCCATTAAAAACATTAAACTTCCCACTGCTTCGCGATAGGGTATATCTTTTTATAATTTTTCACTATCTTGAACTATTATTTTTTTTTTATTTGGTCTATACGTAAGCTTCTTGATTCATAAATATATCACCATTTTCAGCTTGTGTAATTTGCAAACTTAAATAACTATCTAGGGAGCCAATTGAAAACTTAAAATTATTCTTAAGGTCTTGAATAAATGATCCAGCAATATCTTCGTCACTACTTGCAACAAGATCATCATCCACATAGATTGCAACCAATAATTTCTTATTATTTTTTTACGTACAAATAAGCACGGATCAGCTGCACTCGCTTTTAAATTTGTTTTTTGTAGAAATTTTACAAAACGCTGATTCTAACATCTCGGGGCTTGTTTCAGTCCATATAAGCTACATTTTAATTTACATTACTATTTTCAATAAGAGATTCCATTTCTTCATTCCTCGCCCTTTTCCACTCTTCAACATCATCAGATTTCATAGCCTGATTGTAACTCTCTGAAACATTTGATATAAAACATTTAGCTGAGAAAATGTAATCTTCCAGATAAAGTGGCAAACAAGTTTGTCGATGACTACGTCTAGATTTTTCATCTTCAGTTTTATCTTCTATATTAGAGTTTTGCTGTTCCTCCAAAGGTGTCTCACCTTCTCTCTCAATAGAATCTTGAGGAAATTATTTCTCATATTCTGCAGGTGGTCCAGTCTCTTGTTCTGCATAAGTATCATTCTGCTTATTGAAATTTGGCTTAATTTCTAACTCGAATTTCTGAATGATTTCTTCTTTTCCAAATATTACATCTCTTCTTCGAATTACTTTCTTTTCATTCTGTATCCAAATTCTGTATCCATCTCTTTCGGCACAGTATCCAACAAAGAAGCCAGGTAAACTCTTTTTGTCTAACTTACGTCTCTTCCGTTTTGGAACATACACATTTCAGCTGGTTCCAAAAATTCTACAATGATCAATAGACGTTACTTCTTTGTTCAGCCACAAAGCTAACGGCGATTTTTCTGGTACAGGAGTTGCACCGGTTCTATTTAGAACGTAGACGGCTGTATTAATTGCTTCGGCCCACAAATATTATGGTAAATTCTTGGCATGTATCATAGACCTTGCGCTTTCTACAAGTGTCCTATTTTCTCTTTCAGCTAGCTCATTTTGTTGTGGACTATAGGGTATGGTTATTCTAAAATTTATTCCTTTATTTTGTAGAATGTCTCGCACTTCAGCATTATCGAACTCCTTTCCACCATCGCTTAAAAATTCTTATATCATGACCTTGCTACTTGAGATTCTTCTAAGAATGTTTTTAGGCAATCGGATACTTCAGTTTTGTACTTAATGAAAAATACTCGACGAAATCATCTTTAAAGCAAACATAATAATTAGCACCTCCAAGTTAAGTTTACTGCATAGGCCCACAGACATCTACATTAGACTGGGATAAAAAAATAAAAAAAATTTTTTTCTTAGCGGAACTATGAAAATATTGTTCATAACGACAAAAAAAATTTTTCCTGAAAGTTTGAGCCCTTAATAATAATATTAAGAGGTGCATCATTGCAGTTATTGATTTTTCAACAGTTGTCGCGTTTTTGCATAAATTTCGGACTTGGTCAATTTTAAAAAAATTTTTCATCTCTTATCCTTGTAGGAAATTAAATTCCCCACAAAAAAGCTTTCTTTTTCGTAAGACGAGTCTATTCTTTGTAATCGAGCCTCAAACATTGGTATATATTTTCAATTTTTCACTTTGCATTTGGGATTTCCAAAATGAACTTAAATATTAAGAAGAGGTTGAGTGGTGTGTACACACTGGGTAATAAAAAATGAAGAATGGAACGTATTTAAAGTGTGTAGGTAGTTTTATTAATATTAATAAAACTACCTACACACTTTAAATACGTTCCATTCATTTCTTAAATATTAAGATTTGCAATGATGCACCTCTTAATATTATTATTAAGGGCTCAAACTTTTAGGAAAAATTTTTTTTGTCGTCATGAACAATATTTTCATAGTTCCGCTAAGTTTATTTTTTTGGCCCAGTCTAATCTACATGAATTATTTCACCTATTTTACTTGGCCTACACTTGCGGGATTTAAACGGTATTCTATGTTGCTTTCCCCAAATACAAGAAAATGGCTAGATTTATTGAATGAGTTCATAGAACAAAATCTGCTTAAAAATGCATTTTTCACAGATGCGTCACATAATAAATATTCTTGTACCGAAAAAAATTATTGAGCGCAGCACCATCTACATATTGACCTCTTTAAAATCAATTTATATCTAATATTGAAGCTATCTTAATGTTCTATAAACTGGCTGTTACAGAATTCAAATATCTCTATTTCTTACCAAAATATCCAGTGGCCTGGAAGTTTGTATTGGTACACCTTGTATACCTGTCTTTCTAAAACCATTTATTGCGTTTGTAGGAGTGCTGGCTCATAAATAAGCTTAACCAAATATTTCTCCAATTTTATATATAGTGACTACCTTTTCAGCATGACTACTTAGAAAACATTTAACTTCTTGACTATAGAAAGTTGAAAGAGGAGTCACGAATGGAACATGATTATTTATGTATTTTTTTTTTATTTTATAATTTATGTAAAAGGTAGAAATCAAGATTTCATTATATTTGCATATCATCTTACGCAAACGTCCTTCACCTGGTACCAAGCAAATGACCGATCGTGCCATCCGTTGATGAATTTATTTTCTTTTGGTTTCATGCATATTACATATGACATATACATTATTTTAATTTCTTACCATATTTAGCTATGTTAGTTTATTCATGAATTCTTTTAAAGGTAAATTATTTACAAGGTTGTGAATAATTTAAATATTGCATGTTTCTTTTTTTTTTTTCTGTGGCACCATTTCTTATTTTTTCTTTAAAAAACTTAGTTTTTTTATAAATTGTTGTAAAATTGACTAAATATGATGTAAAACACAATTTTAAAATGATTTTTTTTATTCATGTTGGCACCCAACGTGTTAACAAACTTTGTGCGTCTATCGTCGGCCATAATGTATTTTTTGACAGGACGATAGATATCCATAGATTAGTTATAGATCTAAACTAAATGAATTTGCAACTAAAGCAAGTAAAAAGTAATCACTGTTTTTTCTATTTATTTTATGTATTTTGAAGTAGTGAAAAGGTTCATTTTTAGCATTCCTCGCCACTGTATTGACGATGGTTATAGGGCAAACCCTACACGATAAATATTCAAGAAAGCAACCTGGACAATTTGATGATGAATGTGAAGATGAAGTAAATGAAAATGAACAAGAACAAGCCGAAAAATAATGTATTGATAGTGTTCTTTTTCTTTAATCTCGAATTGATGATATTATGTACTTATAGTTTTCGAAGTGGAATTGTTTATGTTTTGATAAAGTAAAATAAAAAAAGTTTCTGCTTTTTATACGACTTTCAATGAATGCGAGCTGTTTTTTCTTGCGTATCAATTTTCGAGTGCTTGGTTTTCCATGAATGAAAGCTCATCGATTTAAGTCAATCGATTGATGCCACAGCCTGCTTCTATATTTAGCTCAACTATAAAACATAAAAACAAATTCCCTTGAAATAAACTCAGTCCCGAGAGTTCTCAACGACTTCGTCCAATACTTGAGAATTTGCCTTTTTTTATTTTATAAATCGACTTGGTATTATTTTGCAGTGAATTGTTTACGTCATGAAAACAATTTATTGCAATAAAAATCGTGCATACCGGGTGTCATATATGTTGAGCGAATGTTAGGTATGTCATGTTACTTTTCATCCAAAACACTATACCCTATTAGGCATTCCAAACAAATGAATTACCAGTGAGCAGGTTTGGTATATCTAAGGGTGGCGACATAATGGTGTATTCTATCTACTTTACGTAAAATCATGAATAATGGATTATATTTAAATATTTTATGTCAAACACAATAAAAATAATATTTAAAAAAACCTACCTATACATTTCTTCATAAATTGGCAGGCTTGGCGAGTACTACTTCGAATAAAAATAACGTCCAAGTTGCAAGACTATGTCGCTACCTCCTTAAATATACAAGAATTTCCCACTGGCACCTATTGTTTGACAGGTCCTTGGAATGCCTAATTCACATATTTTTTTCCAATTCGATAGAAGAAGAAGGGTTAAGGTTTTTCTAAATTGTATGTTGTAGAACAATAAAATGTAAAAGAAATAAAGTGGTTTTCATTAAAAATACTGGAACAAGAAAAAAGTGAATTCGCTAAAGAAACAAATAAACAAAAATATAAGGTTCCTGCCATCTAATATCTAAGATATTTTGACAAGATAAAACTTAAAATAATTTTCCTCCCGTGTTTTTATATTTTTAATTTCAAATATACCTATTATTCATAAATCCCAATAGATCAACCAACAAATGTTTCATATTTTATAAAGCAATATTAATCAAATTTACAATACATTTATTTGTTCATTGTCATTAGCACATTCCCACACAAAATCACCGAACAAACAAAATTAACTAAAATTTTTGATTATATGTCAAATATCAAATTAATGCCCCGATGTATTAAATGAATTATATTTTATGATTTTGAAAACCGAGCACGCATCAATGATTACCAGATTACAATATTGAATTGCCTAAAAGCAATATGGGAGAGTATTCATATTCAATTTATATAAAACACTTTTGCTAATGAAAAATGATATATTTTGTAACAAGTTTGGAATGAAAATTCGATACGATTCGAAGATTCTAAACGCGAGAACCACTAATATCGGATTTTTATTCCAACAGAGTAACAGACTCTACTTTCCCCACGACCACAGTACGATCTGAACATAGTAAAATGAAATATTTATTCTAATTTTTGTTTTTATTGTAAGTTTAATCATTTTCAAAATTTGTCATACATGTCAAATAAAAAATATATTTTTTAAATACCTTTTAAAAAATACTAAATTATACAAACAAGGCAATAAAAAAATGTCATAAAAATAAAAGATTTCTGGTTTGTATGCAACAAATAATCTAGGTTAGAGGGTAACACGATTGATAATTACAGGCAAACATAACTTTATATAGATGCCGGAGAGGCTAGCCGCGAGCTTAGTGTGCATTCATTAGATTTTTCGAATTCTATTTGCAGTGACATCTATTTCATTGAAAAGGAAAAAAGGGGGTCTTTATTGATAACGAACCCAAACAAGGAACGCAATATATAAATATTTTACACGAGAACACTGATGCACACAGAAAGCACTGCATCTAGTACAATTGTGAATTGTACTTAACTGGCAACACTGGTTTGGCAACCTTGTATGTGAGCGGCGCGCCAATTAATGTGTTCTTTGGCAGTTTGAAAGATTTGTTGGCGTGTAGTCTTCTCTTTTTAGCTATATGTATTCGCCAAATCGTCTCACTCGTGTTAGACTCACTCATTATAATGCGCCATAGACACGGGATACTTAGGTATACTGTGCCACAGAGACGCGATTAATCAGAGGGCAATGATGTACCAAAAAATATAGATTAACACGTATGAAAATAAAAATATTAAAATTAAATTTATATTTTTTTCTACGTTCATGCAAAAAACAAAACTTTATCGAACTATATTTAGTGAAAAAACTGGTTCTTTATTGCACTAGTGCAATAAAAATTTTATTGCACTCATCTGTCATTTTACTACAGCGTTTTATGATCATGACAAACATAAATATTCAAATCAACGCCAAATATTTAGTCCATTTTCATTTTCTGTCTTACGTTTTGAAAACAATAGCATATTTTATATTATTTTCAATCAGTTAATAAATAAATTAATAAAAAAATGTATTTTATTAAAAATGTCATTACAAATTATAAACACAAACAAAGGTACACGATCACGGCTACTATGATTTGGATAATACGACTGCAGCTCTATAAAACATTTATTTGGTTTTTGCATGAACGTAGAATAAATATTGTATGCAACTCGTGCAAAAAGTGTTTATTGCACTCGACGTGTTGTGTAACTCGGCCTGACGGCCTCGGACAATTTCACGTCGCGTGCAATAAACACTTGTTGCATAAATAACTATTATGTTATTTATGTAATATTAAAATATTGTGTATTTATGAAATTTAATTGGGTGTTCACTGCACAAATGAACCAATGAAGAAACCGCCCTTGGCTAGAATTAGAATGAAATACTTGTAAAATATATTAGAAGTAAGAATTTCAGAATTTTTTTTCAATCTGAAGAGCAAGAATGTTTCTTTATGTTACTTTTGATGATTTTGGAAGAACTACCTTCAGAAGTGGCCGTGGAGAAAATTATAAACCCAATACAGTTTAAAAACAATTACTACATCTTCAGAACTTGATGAATTACAGCACTCGCCTGCGGCTCGTGCTGAAAACTTCATCTGCATGGGTTGTGAACTGTTTATCTCAGTTTTTTCGGAAGAATTAATATCCTAAGAATTGTAATTCTTACTGGCTTTTAAAATACTCTTTTCACGCTAACATGTGTAATTTCTCATGAAAATCTTGAGATACACAATTTTTCTCCTGTTTGAAAATAGGTCCCCAGATGACTTGTCATATGGAGTAGAATTGGTACATAAAATTGCTTATTTGCCTTAAATAGGATACACATGCAACGTTTTTTCATCTTCTCTTTTAGCGCATCGCGTTTTAATAGGATAGATCTTCGTTAAGTCGAGGAACCACCCAATCCCTCCAATCAGCAAGCTGCGCGCCGGCGCCGTAGCCGTAAGCAAAACGGTTGCATGATAAATAAAAGTAAATATTGACGTATGCGTTTTAGACTTTGGTTAACTACGTTCTGATTGGATAGTTAACTGTCAACATATTAAGTACCCAATCATTGATGATGGCATATAATCATTTGAATGATATGATTCGAATACTCGATAAATTCGATTTTTATTCATCCGAGTATTCGATTATGACGATCATTCGATTATGTCAATCACTATCACCAATAAGTAACATAATAATCAGAGATAAGGGAGATAAAGATAGGAAACGCTCATAAGAAGTCAATGCTTTACAACGACCAGCTTTAACGCAGTTAACATCTGACCCACTGTGTGGCGCTTTCATCGATATCAAACAACGTAGCGGGAAATTTAAAAATCTGATAATAAAGGTTGTATAAATATCGACTGCATTCTTGTTCTTGTAAATAAATTTAAACAATGTATTTATGATAAATTATTTATTAAAAAGAATACTACACTTACATTCTATTATCGATTAATTATTGTAAATCTATTCTTGACAAATTTTTTTTATTTTTGATCGTTATTTGTAACATTACATTTCTGTTTTTATTTTCCAAACAAATGGCCAATGGGAATTCAGATATTTTTCTTCCTATATCAAATCTTCTTTCTAACGTTTTGAAGCCATTTTCTTGTTCTAAAACAATAAATAATACATAAATACCTACTTTTTGATAAAAGTTAGTTCCTATTTGTGTTACTTACATGACTAGATCTTACTTTGGTTAATTAAAGAACACCATATTGAAGTTGTTCAATTTATTCATGTGGCATGTGTTACTAATGCAATACGTTCTCCGACATGACTGCATGTCTCAGTGTTGCCACCATACGATTTAAATCGTATTTATACGATTTTTTAACTCTCTGTACGATGTACGATTGCATCAGTGAAATCGTACGTAAAAATATGATCTTCACTTTTTTAGCAGGTTTATTTAAATATCTGCAACAACTTCAGAACATAAAACAAACAATAAAAATCAAAAATTACTTTCAAAGATTCATTGGGCGTTCGTAATTTGTGAAGGCAGTCATTTTCGTTCTCACTTATTGTGATTTTGACCATGGTCATTTTGTACCAACACAAACTATCACGGCATAAGAAAAGCTTGTATGCAAAATTGCAATCACTTTCAAGTGACAGTCATTGATTACTTTATGTGTTAATTTAAAGTTTCATGTATTTTCTTTAGTTTTTTTTGTTGTAAACATTTTTATAAATAAATAAATTGTCATGCTAAAGTGTTTTTTTATTTTTTCATTCCATTTAAGCTATATTATGCTATACATAAACCTATTTTACGATTTTTTTGTCGAAATACCATTTTCTCTACTATACTTGTACGAGTGGTACGATCTCTTAAAAAATATATTTGGCAACATTGGTCTGTCTGCAAACGACGTATATTTTTAGTTAACATCTGAGACGCATAGATGACGCCATCGTTGCTGCGGTCGTTGCGTTTCCTATCTTTATGTCCCTAATCTCTGATAATAATCATAACATAGAAAAAT